GCTCTTTCATCTATTCAAAATAAAGCTGAGCCACCTGCCACTGCCACCACCATCACCCTTGGCTGGCCCGGGGCTCCAGGGCGCGCTAACTGTGCACTGAGTGAGCTCCTGTGCACATCCGTGCCCACTGGACTGCTCCAACACTAGGGTTTTGTTTACCAGAGCAGTGGGCAGGGGTAGGGTATAGGGCAAGGGTGGGCAAACTTTTTGACTCGAGGGCCACAATGGGTTCTTAAACTGGACCGGAGGGCCGGAACAAAAGCATGGATGGAGTGTTTGTGTGAACTAATATAAATTCAAAGTAAACATCATTACATAAAAGGGTACAGTCTTTTTTTTTTTTTAGTTTTATTCATTTCAAACGGGCCGGATCCGGCCCACGGGCCGTAGTTTGTCCACGACTGGTATAGGGAGACAGCAGACACCAGGAGGGTTGCCTCTGAGGCTGAGGGCTGGGCCACAGGGAGGCTGCAAGGTCAGTTGACAGGTATGGAGCACAGCAAGGAGGCCCTGAGGAGGCACGCTGCCCAGAGCCCTGGAGCGGTCAGCGGGCAGGGCCACCACCATCTTTCGGGGAGGGTTAATTTGCATATGCCCTCCTGATTGGCTGGGGCATCACAAAGTGATGGTCAATTTACATATTTCTCTTTTATTAGATAAGATAGTCTCAAACAAGGATATTATGCAAAGTTCCTTTTTAAAAAAAACTAAATCTTTATTGTTCAGATTATTACAGTTGTTCCTCTTTTTCCCCCCATAGCTCCCCTCCACCCAGTTCCCACCCCACCCTCTACCCCCACCCCACTGTCCTCATCCATAGGTGTACGATTTTTGTCCAGTCTCTTCCCGCACCCCCCACACCTCCCACACCCCTTTCCCCCACGAGAATAGTCAGTCCACTCCCTTTCTATGCCCCTGATTCTATTATATTCTATCACAGTGACTAATATATACCACATGCTCAATAAGTTAAAACTATAATTATTTATTATTTGTAAATAAAGAACTTGAGGTTGGTCTTTCTCCTTAAAAAAACAAAACAAAACAAAAAATGCCATGATGTTCCAAGGTGTAGCTGAGTCCCCTCCAGGTGCTGACCTGACCAACGGGTGGATGAGGCCTAGGAGAACTCAGGTGGCAGCTCTCTTTAAACCCGACCACACAGAGCGCTTCATTCCCTGGGCGATCTTCACATCCTCCCAGTCCAGTTTGGTGTCCGGAACCTCATCTTCCGGCTCTGGATCCTTTCTCACGGCTCCCTGGGGCGAGGCGACCACAATGGGCAGAGGGCCGCACTCCTCCCGGAACTCCACAACATGGAGACTCTTTTTATCAGCCAGCTGTTGGTGGGTTTCCTGGGCAAGACCAAATGGAGAAGAACAGTTAGGACTGTGAGGCACATCTGTAATTCAAAGAGCAGGAACTGCCTTCAGCCAGAGAGAAGTGGGCAGTGACAACACTGTACCACTTAGGACTTAAATACCCTTTCAGATGATTCTGGGGTGACCTGTTGTAGGTGGAATAATCTCAGCCACACCTTCCTACCCACAATGCGGACAGAGGGAAGGCACTGTCCTTCCAAACCCTGCCAATCATGTGCCAGGCTGTGCCCAAAATCAATCTGAATATCATCAAGCCCTAGTCTAGCTTCCAATTCACAGGACACAAAGGGAAAGAAAATGTGGAGGATCCACATGCAGATATGTAGTCAGCACCAGACTGGGAAACCACAGTAGGAACAGCCTGGTTTCTTCTACTAACCAAATGCAAGAAAAAAGAAGGGAACCTACACATTAAAAATGACTTAAAAGACACAGCAAAAACTTACAATGTACTGACCCATCTGCAACCTGATTCAAACAAATTGCATAAAAAATTATTTTTAAATGGACATTTCTTTTTTAAAAAATATATTTTTATTGATTTCAGAAAGGAAAGGAGAGGGAGAGAAAGGTGGGATCATCAATGATGAGAGAGAATTGTTGATTGGTTGCCTCCTGCATGCCCCCTACTGGGGATTGCGCTCACAACCCAGGCATGTGCCCTTTACCAGAATCGAACCTGGGACCCTTCAGTCCCCAGGCTACCGCTCTGAGCCAAACTGGCTAGGGCTAAATGGACATTTCTATGAGCTCTGATGAGATGTGTGATAATACTAAATTCCCATGAATTCTTTAGGTAATAAAGTAAGTAGTATTGTGGGTACTTTCAAATCCTTATCTTTCAGATACATATTTATGGATAAAATAAAATGATGAGGAGGTGGTACTGCTAGCACGGATGAAAGTGCCAAGGGACTCATGACAGAAGGTAGCCATCAAAGTCTGGAAACAGGCAAATAAAATCAGTGGATGGTTTACAGATGGTTTCTTAAAATATCCGATACGTTCAATCTCATGTTTCCAGGTTCTGTCTACCTTGTAGTATTCTAACACTACATATGTTTGAAATTAGACAAGAGATGAGCTGTTTCATAAAAACAAACTAATTTAAATCAGTGTCTGATAATCAATAGCACATAACTTAAATTGGTGGCACTTTTTCTCGTGAGTAGCACATTAAATAATGCAACTTTTTAATAGCTGGTGGTATCTGGGATAGTTACATTAGAAGATTCAAAGTACTAATGTAAAACAAAAACATCATATAAGTGAACAAATATACTTGATCATAAATATGAACTATCTAAAACCAATCTTTCCCTAGTTGGTTTGGCTCAGTGGACAGAGCGTCGGCCTGCGAACTGCAGGGTCCTGGGACTGATTCCAGTCAAGGGCACATGCCTGGGTTGTGGGCTCGATCCCCAGTAGGGGGTGTGCAGGAGGTAGCCAATCAATGATTCTCTCTCATTATTGATGTTTCTATCTCACTCTTCCTCTCCCTTCCTCTCTGAAATAAATAAAATATATTTAAAAAATAAACAATCTTAGTCACATCAAATAATTAAACCTCTAACAATAAGTTTAAATTCAAAAGTACTTTTGAAGGATGTTTTGGACAGCGCACACACACACACACACACACACACACACAGCTGTTCAAAAAAGATGTTTGTTTTTTTTAATTTAAATTCTTAATTGTTTAAAGTATTACATGAGTCTCCTTTTTCCCCCAATTGACCTCTCCCCGGCCATTCCAACCCCTCAGCACATGCCCTCACCCCCCTACTGTCTGTGTCCATTGGTTATGCTCATATGCATGCATACAAGTCCTTTGGTTGATCTCTTACCCCCTCAAGGTTGGACAGTCTGTTTGATGCTTCTATGTCTCTGGTTCTATTTTTGTTCATCAGTTTTTGTTGTCCATTATATTCCACAAATGAGTGAGATCATGTGACACTTATCTTTCTCTGACTGGCTTATTTCACTTAGCATAATACTCTCCAGTTCCATCCATGCTGTTGCAAATGGTAAGAATTCCTTTTTTTATAGCAGCATAGTATTCCATTGTGTAGATGTACCCAGTTTTTTAATCCACTCATCTGCTGATGGACATTTAGGCTGTTTCCAAATCACAGCTATTGTAAATTGTGCTGCTATAAACATAGGGGTACATATATCCTTTCTGATTGGTGTTTCTGATTTCTTGGGCTATATTCCTAGAAGTGGGATTACTGGGTCAAATGGAAATTCCATTTTTAATTTTTTGAGGAAACTCCATACTGTTTTCCACAGTGGCTGCACCAGTCTACACTCCCACCAGCAGTGCACGAGGGTTTCTTTTTCTCAACATCCTCGCCAGCACTTGTCCTTTGTGGATTTGTTGATGATAGCCATTCTGACAGGTGAGAGATGGCACCTCATTGTTGTTTGGATTTGCATCCCTCAGATGATTAATGACTTTGAACATGTTTTCATGTCTCTTGGCCTTCTGTATGTCCTCTTTTGAAAAGCGTCTATTTAGGTCCCTTGCCCATTTTTTGATTGGATTGTGTATCTTCCTTTTGTTAAGCTGTATGATTTCCCTGTAACTTTTTGAGATTAGACCCTTATCAGAGATAACATTGGCAAATATGTCCTCCCATGCAGTGGGCTTTCTTGTTGTTTTATTGATGGTTTCTTTTGCTGTGCAGAAGCTTTTTATTTTGATGTAGTCCCATTTGTTTATTTTCTCATTAGTTTCCATTGCCCTAGGATCTGTATCAGTAAAGATATTGCTACGACATGTGTCTGCTATTTTGCTGCCTATGGATTCTTCTAAGATTTTTATGGTTTCCTGTCTTACACTTAAGTCCTTTATCCATTTTGAGTTTATTTTTGTGTATGGTGTAAGTTGGTGGTCTAGTTTCATTTTTTTGCATGTATCTGTCCAATTTTCCCAACACCATCTATACTAATAAAGAGCTAATATGCTAGTGGTCGATACGCCATAACAATAATGATCAGGTCATTAGCATATAAGCTAGGGTGTTGCTCCAGAGACGGGGTGGAAGCGGGGAGGAGCCTGAAGGAGGCGGGACTATCCCGTGCCTGGGAGGGCAGGGGTGAGAGGGCATAGTGCCCCCCTCACCAGTCCTTCGCCACCCACCGCTCGCACTCTGAGTGCCCCGCGGCCCACCTGCCAGGGGAAGGAGCACAGTGCAGCAGGCAGGAGGCTTCCATGCTCTCCTCCGGTGCCATGATGGGGCAGAGCCACTGCGTTACTCCGGAGATGGGGCAGAAGCGAGGAGGTGCCGAGAAGACGGGACCAGCCCTATGCGACTCGAGGGAGTGAGGGCGGGGCTTGAAGTGGCCAGAGAAGGCCAGAGGGTTTGGGGGCTGGGCCAGGCACGCTATAGAGCTCTGCATGGAGAGGTTCAGGGTTAAGGTAGGGCGGCGCCCCTAGTTTATTGAAGAGACTATCTTGACTCCATTGTATGCTCTTGCCTCCCTTTTCAAATATTATTTGAGCACAACGGCTTGGGTCAATTTCTGAGTTCTCTGTTCTGTTCCGTTGGTCTATATGTCTGTTCTTGTGTCAGTACCAGGCGGTTTTGAGAACAGTGTTTTTGTAATACAGCTTGATATCTGGTATTGTGATTCGTCTAACTTTGTTCTTCTTTCTCAAGATTGCTGCAGCTATTCGGGGTCTTTTTTTATTCCAGATAAATTTTTGGAGTTTGTTCTAGGTCTTTGAAATATGCTGTTAGTATTTTAACGGGGATTGCACTGAATCTATAGATTGCTTTGGGTAGTATGGACATTTTTATGATGTTGATTCTACCAATCCATGAACACGGTATCTTCTTCTATTTACTTATGTCTTCCTCTATCTCTTTTTTCAACATCCTGTAATTTTCTGAGTACAAGCCCTTTACCTCCTTGGTTAAGTTTTTTCCTAGGTATATTCCTTTTAAACAAAGCCCTTTCTTTTCATTAATTTTCCTATTTTGAACAGAGAGAGCTACAATGATTCCACAGATCACTTTGTTCAAAAACAGCCATCAAACTCTCTGTAAGGAAGCCTGTCAAAATCCTCAACAAACTCCTCAACAAACGGAGGCCACAGAAAGGAGTCTCTTGAACCCAGCTCTCTTTTCTCTCATGCAGATCTGCTAAGATCTACCCCTCCTTTCGAGGGATAGTCAGCACTGGCCCAGGACTCCCAACTGTGTGGTGACAGCCTGGCATATTAGGGTTCATGGCTCCTCAGAGGTCAGGCAGCTGCCTGAACAACCTGTGCCGGGACCATGAACACTGCTTCCCGTAAAGACAGCTCTCATGAGTGGAGCAGGGGCTGAGAGGCTCACACCGGTTCCAATGGAAAGGTCTAAATTAGGAAATGGACTTTCTCTTTTTATTTTAATTCTATATTGTTGGAGATTTAGAACAAGCATGTATTCTTTTCATAATAAAACAGAGTCTAATTACTAACTTTTAAAAATACTTACTTTTGAAAGTTCAAAACGCCCATGAAGTATTTTTTAAAGGTTCATCTTCGTGAACTAACTCTTCAGTTGAATGAACTACCTGATTAGTCAGCATAAAACCCATGTTTCAGGTGGCCCCAGGACATGGTAGTCTCAACACACACAACTGAAATGCAAACCAGAACTTCCGTTTCAGACCCAAGGCACGGTTACCTGGCAAGAGAGACCATGGAAGAGGCCCCGGGTGAGGTTGAGCATGTTCACGGACCCCGAGACCTTGGCATACATGTCTTTGATGCCAATGAGACGGCAGATGGTGATGATGGCGCGGTGGCAGCGAAGACCGTAGCCTAGGAAAGGGGAGAATCAGAGTCAGTGCACTGCTGCTTTCACACAGCTCCAGGCTCTGGATTTAGGATACTCTGGTTCACAGTCCAGCTCATCACTTCCCAGCTGGGTGACCCTTGACAAGTTATTTAACTTCCCTGATGATCCTTATTTAAATGTTATTTGAACTAAAGAAATAAATATCTTGAGCACATGGGCAGAAAAACGGGGTTGTTATGAAGATGAACTGAGCTGCCTGGCAGTTCCTCACATCCTGCTAAGAACTAACCATCGAGGGATACATCTGTTGTCACCCCTCGACTGCTTGGCTGCACTGAGCAGAGAAGTCCACTTTCTTCTCCTGGAAAGACTCTCTGGCTTTGTAACACTCTCCTCTGATGTTCTCCTGGCCTGTCCTTCTCACCTCCTTGCAGACCTGACCTCCAGCCATGTGCCCTATTAATGCCTACTTACAATACCTGCTCCAGGAAGAGCTTTAAAAACAAACCAAACATATCTCTTCTCCTTTAAAGCCCTCACTTCCCATTATTCTCTGAATTCAAATAAAATAAAATAAAATGCTCCACCCCACCCCCAAAGCCCTCTATGACCTGACATCTCGCTGACCTCATGCAGACTCCACCCTCCTGGTGCTGGCATTGTCACCTGGGGGACTTTGCACTTGGCATTTCCCTGCCTGTTCTCCACACGGCTACTTCTCACCTTAAATGTCTCACTTAAATACCTCGTCCTCAGGGGTCAATCTTTAACCACAGATTGAAGGTATCACCCTTCCTTCCCAAGGCCAGGATCTCCCTAAACTGGCATCCTGGCTGCTGCTTCAGGCCCTCAGCAGAACCTGTCAATCCGATGTTGCCCTCAGGTAGAATGTGGGCTCCATGAGAGCTGGATATAGTTCACTGCTGTGTTCTCAGAGCCTAGACCAGTACCTAGCAAATGCAGGTGGGAGTGAGTGACAGAAAAGAGCTCCAAGTTTAGATGCGAGCATTCTGATTAGCCAGACGTGAAACTCAGAAACCTCCCCACTCACTTTAAGGCACAGCATTTTTCTTCGTGACTCAATATATGTGTGTAAAAACTATATTCTTACCTAACACTGTCCTTGCTATTTGAAAGAGAAAAATAATTGTGGGCCAGCTATGCCAGATCATTTGAGAACTGAGGGCTTTAGAATGTGGCTAAAGACAGGCTAACAATGCAGTGGTTTATTCTTCTATGTGGAGTTATATACACACAGAATATATGCCCATGGGTGAAGGTGTATAGATGCACACACACCTGGAGAGGTACACATGCAAGAAAGTGCAAGACAGATGTTTAGAGGGGCCTCGGAGGCTCACTGGATGACCTGGGCATGATGGGGAGCACTCGAGGGAAGGTGTGTATGCTGCACAGCACCTGGACCACACAAGATGCTCCACCAATGAATAGTAGACACTATTTTGCAGAACCTATCAACAATGTTAAGTGAGGGCTGACTGTATGTACTTTGATTGTGAAGACTTCAAATGTAAAAAAACATTTGTTTAATACAAGCTAAATTCATGTGTGTGTGGTACAGGAAATGCTTTGTAGTGCTGTGTGAGGAAGCAGATACTGTCCTGCAGCCAAGGCAGAAGTGCCTATGTTTAAAGCTTAGGAACATGGCATCCTCGATCTCCCCGGGAGATGCACATGTACATTCACAAAGATATACAAGCATCTTTTTTTACTTTCCTTAATACAGTTTTCCTCCTTGGCACTCTTTTGGTTATTAATATCCTCCCATAGAAATAGTGGTTCACATGCTTTAGGAAAAGCTATCTATAATGTATCATACTGCTTTAGCAGAATATTTAACCCCAATGCACAGGTAATAGGTTAAACTATATAGAAACCTGAAAAATATAGAAGACAGAAAAAATAAAAAATGCTAACCTCTATAATTAAATTAAAATGTATTTGAGAGAAAGGAGAGAGGGAGGGAGGGAAAGAGAGAAAGAGGGAAAGAGAGGGAGAGAGATATCAATGTAAGAGAGAAACATTGATCAGCTGCCTCCTGCACGCACCCTGACCAGTAATGGAACCTGTCACCCGCTGGTGTATGAGGTGACGCTCCAACCAACTGAGCCACACTGGACAGGGTGGGAGGCAGTGTTTCAAAAACCAATTAGGTATAAAAATTATTCAGGCTTCTTAAAATCTAACTTAGGCTTTCTGTTTGGTATTTTCAAAATGAGCTCAAGTAAAAGTGAGCAAAGTAAAGGACATAATAGAACTATTATAACTGAACTGCTTTATCTTCAAAAAATTGTAAGAGTTTTTAAGTTACCTCTGGGTTGTTTCTTCATCTTGATATGTGTCCTTTTAAACCTTAAGGAGATATCATGGTATACTGGAGGATGAAAACATAAAGACGAACAAGGTTAGGTATGAGCTTTAATGCCCTTGCAAATATTCCACAGCAACTAATACAACCATAAGCAGCCAGCACACAGTGGCCAAGGATAAGTGACAAAGTCTGATTTACCCATCACCACCTTCTCAGGAGAGAAAGTTTGCTTCTACATTCTACATGTTTATTGTAAGAACATAGCAACAGAGAAAAACAAAGTTACCACAGAGATATACTGCCACACAATGAGCCAACACAGTCTTGCAAATTTTAAAAGAAAAGATTAATACTCACTTGTATGGTCTTCATATCGTTCTATATAATGCAAATAGTGAACTGCTCTGTTCTTTGCCTGAAAGATGAAAAATATTTTTCTTAATCTACTGTTGGAATGTACTTTTTCTCGGAGATTTCAAAATATCTTTTGCCCTGGTTGGTGTTGCATAGTGGTTGGAGCATCAGCCCTCGCATCAAAGGGTCTGGGGTTTGTTTCCCGGTCAAGGACATGTACCTGGGTTGCAGGCTGGTCCAGGCCCCGGTCAGGGCGCATGCAGGAGGCAACCAATCGATGTATCTTTTTCACATAAATTCTTCTCTCTCCTCTCGCCCCCCTCCCATTCCTCCCTTCCACGCTGTCTAAAAATCAATAGAAAAAATATCCTCTGCTAAGGATTAACAAAAAACCTCTCATAAAATATTTTACTATGGAAAATTTCAAACTTACACAACAATTTCAGTATATATTTCTAAAAGAGAAAAATTTAATTAAAAAAGAAACTTAACCACAATATCACTATCACAACCTCAAAAAATTAACAGTAATTCCTTAGTGCCCTTGGACATTCTGTCAGTGTGAGACACCTTCTCAGCTGTCTCACAATTTTGGTAACAATCACAAGTCTGATGAAAATGATGTGAAAGAACATGGGTATTTCAGAAACTGCTCTTTGTGAGATGTGGGAACTTGGACAAGAAGTCTCAGGAGAGGGTTATTTTAGTTTATTTTTGTGTGTAGTTTCCATCATGTCTAGCACATAGCCTACTGATCTCTTACTGACAACGAAGGGAAAAAGTACATACTTTTCTGAAAAGCGTCCGCCCGATCAGTGGCTTTTCCAATGGCAAAACCTTTAAAAGAAAAAGCCAAAATATGAAAAAAGGCATATGTTTGGCACATCTTTGACCACATTCCAAGTTTCAGCTCCTACAATATTTCATAGCACTTCATTTCTCCTCTGCCCACAGCAAACCTGCTATGTTAAATGAATGACAAAGCAGGAGGCTAGAGATTTGCTTCTCTGTTCTGGGACACTGGGAAACAGTACACTTTTGGGATATATAATCCATAACACTACCTTTTATTAATCTCTACATAAAACTAAATAAACTCAATAAAACTAAACATGGTTTTGAATATTTTTGAAAATACATTAAAATAACCAGAAAGGTTGGGAAAACATACATTGCTATAGAGTAAAACCATGATTTCACTGGAACTTTCAAATGCAATTCAGATTTCAAAGAACTAGGAGATAAAAATCAATGATTCTTGAGTTTGTGAGTACTTAACCCCATGAAGTGAGGTTTATCACAAGTTACCATAAATGCCTCCACTGTCTGCTGTCACCATTAATTATTAAAAGTAACATAATACTGCTCCATAAGAGACGCAAGACATCTGAAAACCTGGGACAAATGGATTCCAACTCCTAATTTAAATAAACTTAAACCATACAAGTCCTAGAGGAAAATATGAATGTATTTATAACCTTCAAATGAAGGTTTTCTAAGAAGAAATCCAGACACAAAATCAGAAGTAATAAAAGATTGATAAATTTACTACATAAAGGTTTAAAACCTCTGTTGGTTAAAATTTACATGTGGAAAAAATAAAAAACTAAGTCAAAATATGTGATAGACAAAGGGCCAACGTCCTGAACTCACAAAGAACTATATCCTCAATGAGAACAACCACACAACAGAAAAATGGGCAAAGCAAATGAACTGACAGACCTCAAAGAAGAAATAATAATGGCCAATAAACATGCAAAATGATGTCCAAGCTCTCATAGTGAAAGAAATGGAAATGAAAACAAAGAGATAGGTTTCACTATGATACTGACGATCAGTAACGTTTGATTATATTCAGGGCTGGCAAGGGTGTGAGGGTACAGATGAACATAAGTCCATGTAACCTTTTGGGAGGGTTCTGGCAATACTTATCAACATTCAAAATGCATACAATTTTGAGGCAGCAATTTCAGTGCAAGCAATTTCCCCTATTGACATTCGTACCAAAGTACAACAAATTACATGTACAAGAAACACCTGTGCACCAGGCCTCTATACTATATAGTAAGGATGTTTAAAAAAAATACTACAAAATTGGGCTCAACATGAATATTCAACAAAGGGAAAAGGTAACAAAAATTACATTTACCCACACAATGGAACACTATGGAATCAGTACAAAGAATGAGGGGGAATCTTTTTATGCTAATACAGAAAGATCTCTGGATAATGCTGAGAAAAGTTAGGTATATAATTATCAACATATTATGATCCCTTTGTGTAAATTTAAAAAAAGATATATGAATAAAGAATCTCTGGGAAAGATACAAAAATAACTGTTAAGACTAGTTTCCTTTGGCAAACATCCTATCTAATAAAAGAGAAACATGGTAATTAGCATACGACCGCTACCCTTCCCATTGGCTAATCAGGGCGATATGCAAATTAACTGCCAGCCAAGATGGCGGCCGGCAGCCAGGCAGCTGGAAGCGAACATGAGGCTTGCTTGCTTCAGTGAAGGAGGACTCCA